GAACGCGGCCGCCAGCGCCGTCGTCGTCGCCGCCGATCGTCGGGGGAGGAAAAGTCAAGCAGTGGCGAAGCGTCCTAGCTCGCGTATAAGCCTACCAAAGAGTGTTCTAAGAACCTCACATGGTCTGCGCGACATGTTATTGGAACATTTGTGGCTTGGACTGTCTTGTTTTAGCGCATCGGGTCATATTAGAACAATTGTGGGTTCTGAGAACATTTCGTGGTAGGCCTACAGGAATGCCGGGACGGTCAGTCCCTGTTCAAAAAATTCACGTACAGTGAGGGCGCGCATCAAGAAGCCATATGTTCTTCGTCAGGGTATCCTGGTTTGCTTCGCTTCTCGCGCTGCGGGGATTTCCCGCAGCCGTTGAAGGAGCTGCTGCGTTCGGGTGCTCCAGGTTTTCCCTCGGGTGCACCTCGCGCACGGGTTCTCAGGGTTGGGTTTCTTGCGAGGGTTCTCTTGCGGCCGCGCCCGCACTGTATTGCGTGGGCCCGCTCGGTCTGCTCCCACCCATCAGCTTGAACCCCCCAGCCTAGCTGCCTCGTCGCCGTGTCGACCGGCGGCGACCCTGCCGCTGGCTTTCCACGGTCAGGCTGGGTCGATGACTGGCTCGACTGGCTCAAGCGTTTTTTCTTTTTGTTTTTAAGTCGGCCGGCGGCCAGCTCCTGCGTGCGGTTCCGATGGCGCTTGTGCGAGCACATTCTTAATTGTAGTTGGTGAGTCATTCCCGACGGGGTGGTTGCCATCATCGGACGTGGTTCTGCCTCGAGTCCAGATTTTGTTTTGCGGCGTGCTTGAGGCAGGTCAGTAAACTTGCAGCTGACTACGTCAGAATTCACTCATGTCCAATTCGCTTCATGGAATAATGCCCAGAACATCCAAAGAGTCGAAGCAAGAAGGTGTTCAAACCATTTCGCTGCAGATATTCTTGCAACTTTGGCGGGGGCTTGAAAGAGGTTCCGACGTGGAGCTCGTTTCAGTCTAGACATTTCTGCATCAGCTCGGCTGTCGACTGTGATTGTGCCGAGGTAGACGGCTGGTTCCAGCGATTATTAAGGAGGTGCATTCTGTACATTTGAGCTAGGTTCTGATTAATCGTTTCGCTTTTGTGTCAGCGCACATCTTGGGTTACCATCTTGGACAGAGTGCGACGTTGCACGACATATCCAGGGCCCTTTCCATGGCAAGTGCACGTCTGCCAACCCAGGTGCTGGAGTTGGTCCCCTTCGTAGGTGTTGACGCGAACGTCAGCTTGTCGAAACCTGGTGAAGCACGCATTGGTTCATGTCTGCCTGTGCCTTAGCTGTCGCACAAAGTTCCTACGCAGGAGTGTCTCGCACGCATCGTGATATCTAGTGTGCTCAGTGTGTGGAACACCTACTCTCTGAGGCTCATTGCGCGGCTTCTCTGCGCACTACTCGGACGGAGAAACCACGGCACGCAACCCATCGCTAATCGATCATATGTTTCTCCTTATGGAATGGACCTCGATGCGGTGCCAAAACACGCGGTCGACGCTTGTCCGTCTTCTCAGCAGGGTCTTGCACTGTTCGGACCAAGTGCCAGTGAGTATGGAAGTCGCCTTGAGGGCCTTGCCTGACGTCAATGCGTTGCCTTTGCCCGAGGGGCCGGATCTATCATTGCGCATGACGTTGTTGAAGTTTGATTCCTCGAGCCGTGTGGCCAAGGCGAAGTGCCACCAATGCATTGCGAAGCAATCCCGGGACTTGACATCTCTTGAAGGTGTGATTGGATGTGCGGCATTCGCAGTGGCAGAAGTCGATGAGAATACAGTCGCGGATGTTGTGGACGTTTTTGAACATACGAGATCGGCCATACCAGAACGTAAGGCTGAGAGGTGACGGCGCAAGCTGCACCATGAGCCAGAGCCGCAGGCAACCATCAGGACAGACAGCATGACTCACAAGGAAAGGTGCGTTCTATCTTGACTTTTCAGCCAGGGGTCCTCTCGGATCTTGATGCACCGCCGCCGCTTGAGCTGAAGGTCCCACGGCAATGTCACGTCGGATCGGAACCAGTGGGTTGTGTCTGCACAGGAATTGGCACAGACGAAATTCATCGACGTCGCGGTCAGCGTGAACCACTTCAGGGAAGCCGTGGAAAAGGGTTCGAGGTCACGCACTATGTTGCCAGATGGACGCCACAGATATTTGGAGACCAAATTTCGCAGGTTTTTGCCGATCAGTTGACTCGCCTGTCCTGGCTTTCATCTCTGGTGCCAGACCAAATCTTGGGTGGGTCTTGGATTTTCGATTCGTTGTGGCTGAACCTGAAAATCTACGATTTGTGTCTCACCCGCTTCCGGGACGCGTGTTGGCAGTGAGAGGATGTAGAAACATGGTGGAATGTTTTGCCGCACGGCATCCCAAAGTGCTTTTGCCGTAAATATGGTATTTTTTCGATAGTTGGGAGTCTGGGATCACGGATCATTTGTGTAAGTTTTCTGCCGCCACCATCTTTGCGCCAATCCGCAGATCCGTGCGAGCGACCAAAGGATATTTTGAGTTCTGGATACTATCAAGGGTGCTCGGTCGGTGAATTGTTCGGCAATTTGTTTGAAGTTGCGCACTATGCGAGTGTATGGACCTATTCTGTCTTACTTCTTGGTGCTCTTCTGTGCTATTTCTTGGCGCCCGGGCACCGCCGCGGGCGGGCGCCGCGGGAGGGGGACGAAGCTGCCGTGGCAGCCGCCGTGGCGCCGCCCGTTCGGGCGCAGCAGGTGCAGCCTGGCGCCCCCGCCCCAGCCGCGCGGCCCCGTGCAGGAGGGGCCGCTGCGGCCGCGGCGCTGCTTGCGGGCACCGCATGGCAGCCGCACCTGGCTGCCCATGGCCCGGCCTGGGTCGCGTGCCTGCGGTGCAGCTGCTGGGCGCCGGCGTTGCCGCCGCGCGCGGCCATGCTGCTGCTGCTGCTGCCCGCGGTCCGCGCCGGCAGCGGCGGGGCTGATTGGCGCGGGGCTGGGCATCGCTCGGACGTGTGCATTGTTCCTTCGGCGAGGACCATCGAGGGGCATCCTTGACCATTTGGCGAAGAAACCAACCACGAAACCGAAAACAACACAGGGAATGGACGTCCAAGCGATGGCGAGGGGGCTGATTGGCGCGAGGCCCTGCGGGCGCGCCTCGTGGCCCGGACGAGGCCCCCGGCTTGAGGCCAGTGCATGTGCATGGTGAGGCGGCGCGTCGGGCCTCCGCGTTTCCCCCTCCTCCCCTTCTTACCAGCCTCGAACGTATCCCTATCCCTAAGATTGACACGCCAAAAGGCGATGACAAACTTAGGGATTCGCCCTCAAAAAATAAGGGAATCTCTAAGGTTGGCATCGTGATGAGGAGGTGCCCAGCATAGGGATAGGGATGAGTTCCAGGCTGGTAACCTTCCTCCCCCCCTCGCCGCAGGGCTTCTTCCAGTGGTAAGAGTGGGTGCCGCTTACGACGGGGTGCGCTACCGGGGCGTCATCGGATCATTTTTTGAGTTTGGTGCCACGCCGCATCGGACGCTGGCACTGGCCATGGAGATGCACGGTAACGAGGCGCAGCTCACGGCCCCGAGCGTGGCGTCTGCGGATCCGCTTGAGATGACGAAAATGTTTCGCCCTGGAGGCAAGACGGAGCCGCACATCTTCGCGTGGGTGTTTGTAACATGTCTCATTGTTTTGGTTGCCGATCGGGATCAATTGTCGATGAGCTGTGAACTCACGACGTCAAGCTACAGGATCACATTGTTACAATGGGTTGTCCAGTTTATCATTTTGGCGGTCACATGCGAGCAGTGTGTCGTTCATAGTTTCGGGCTTGTACTCTCTCGTCTACCAGTGATGTGGATGGAAATAGAAGCCCGCTTCCTGGGATATCATCGCGATGCGACAGCTCTGCATTCAACAGGCGTTTGACGTTGTCACGCTTGTTTGCGCGTTCGAGTGTCCGGTTGTGGATTCGATGGTTGTTCTGGGTGGCCTCATGGGCCCAGCCAGCCTGAACATGGCACTATCGGGCACCGCGCAGCAAAGGGAAACCGATGCGTTTTCAAGTGCGGGGGCCAAGTCTACAGCAAGCAGCCAGCTTTTCCGGGTTCCCCGGGGTGTCGTGCGTGGTTCTTGCGTTCGGTGCGGCACTAGAATCAACTGGTTTTGCAAGAGGTTGTGCGTTGGGGGCCTCGAAGTCATATCGCCATGCTCTGCTTGCGAAGGAAGACCTTATGAATCGAGGCTGGTTTTCAACAGATGGGCCCACCACAAAATTGAACAATTGATGTCCGATTTCAGCTGCGTGCATTTCCATGCGGACGCCGTGGAGCGAGCGCGCATGCAACTCTGGCACGAGCGTAGCGTGGCAGAGACGCTTGGCGCAGTGCGCACTGACAAAGGGGCCTGGCATTGCGAAGTGGAGAAAGGCGCTCCGACTGCCAAGCGCCGGAAATTTGGAGGGATGGTGCATGGGCGGGAATGCCCAGCAGCTCATTCTATGACATGTTCCAGCTTGCTGGGGGCTGTGATTGGTGCCCGCGGTTGCGCGATTGTCCCGATAGGGAATATTGTCGTCGAAGTTGTGTTGGTTTTGTGTCAGAGGTCTTGCTCGCGACTCAGTTTTCCATGCCCTTATCAGGTCAGGGTGACATCCCACGCCAGCGCGCCTGCATGGCAGGAGACAGGCCGGCCGAGCTTCCATCCCTGGAGTTGCCCATGCTGCTGAGCTGCGGTTCGTGGTGGACGTATGACGGCCCTCCACAATTGGGAGCTCGTGGTGGGCATTGCCACCTGCTGCTTTGGCGAATGCGGGGGGTGCAGGTTTCAAATCCGCTGTACTCGCAGAGCGTTAGACAGTCTTCTGGAAGGGCCACGATGCATTCTCACCACAGTCTTCGACCCGAATGGGGGCGTTCAGAGAGCTGCAACTGGGTGATGGGGAACAGGAGGACACTGCCAGTCCCAATGTTGATGCCGCGTTGCACGCCACCTCGCAATGTTACTGCTCGCATCTACATTA